AAATATTTATAATAAATTTTAATAATTTTTTCGGATTTTTTTTAAGCTTTAATCCAACCGATTCAGCCGATTCCCGATCCGGATCGGTTTTTGAGATGCCCGATCCAGGTCACCGATTCGTTTTTTAAACCATTGGTGCATTCGTTTTATAAATTCGAACTCCGAACTTCAACTCCGGACAGGGCGCATTGAGTCAAACTCCGGACTTGGCTCATCGAGCTAGGAGCCGTTTGCAGATCAGAGATATATACTCACTATTAATGGAATTCGCATTTTTAGGTGAATTTTCAGTGCTATTATTGCATGTTCGCATTTTTTAAGTGAATTTTTAGAGCTATTATTGCACCATCCATACAATATGCTCCGACTAATATAGCAATCCGTCAAATCGGTAGTAGTATGGTGGATTAAGTAAAAAAATAACGCACAGGACTCCATGGAACTTCATTGATTGGGTTTCCACTAAGAGAATTTTATTGATTGTAAATGAGAGACTTGGTGTTGACAATGAAATTGGTGATATCCATGGATTCGCGCACTTGGATAATGTTTTGGAAAATTAACTTGGGGATAATGCCTTCGTGAACTTGGATGATGCTTTGGAAAATCAATTTGGTGATATTTATATCGTGCATTTGGATAATGCTTTCGAAGAAAAAGATATCATGAGTAATTAAAAAAAAAACTGTTTTTGCGGTTCCGATACTTCAAATAGAACAGCAAAAAGCAACGGGTCAACACTCTAAAAGGAGGGGGTGGTGCTGGTAATTTCAGATAAATAAGTGCCCATTTAGTAATTGACCATCCCTAATCGTGTCTTTGCATAATTTACTCTTAATTTTATTTTAAACAATTTTTGTTCTTCTTTTTTTTTTAACATTTCTTGATCTAGCAAGGACCTGTCCAACTCAAGCTGAATTACCTGCACTCGGCCAGGCCAGGCCCAGCCCAAGGTCGGGTTCTGGGCTCAGTCGTGCGTTCCTACAGTGTTATTGATTATTGTGGTTGTGGTTCGGGGCCAATCTCCAACATGCAGGAAGCATGGTGACAATGAGCATCGCAGCGTATGGGTTGCCTGCAAATCTGATCGTTTACCTCATCCAACAGTTCAACATTAAGAGCATTGCCGCCACACAGATAACAAATGTCGTAAATGGATTCACTAACCTCCTCCCCATTGCTGGTGCCATCATCTCCGATTCCTTTCTAGGAAGCTTCCCCACCATTGCCATTTCTAATTCCATTACCATGCTGGTATTTACTTAGTCCTTTCTCTCTCCACCGTAATTAATTAAGCTTCCCCACCATCTATATTTCTAATTCAATAATAGGAGAGGGGCGGTGGCATGGTGATAGTGTCCCATGTTCTAATCATCACGTTGTAGTTTTCATTCCTATTTACAACACCCATTAATATTTTCAAAATAATCTAATTCTTAAAACTATTTGAAACAATGGGTAAGAACTTGTCGTCCCCACTTCACATAAAAGCCACGTTCAATTACTTGGCCTGGGCTCGCGACTTGACCCCTGCCTAAATCAAGTAACTCTGGCATAAGTCTTGTACAAGCTCAAAAATAGTTAAAAATGGTAATATAAAATATGAGATTTTGCTAAGAAAGTGTAAAAAGCCAAAGAAGTAAAAAAAAGCACAAAAAGTCTATAAAAGATGATGGAGCAACTTAAGATAAATGGTGGTTTGTATAGCGCTGAGGCTCTAAACAATCAAAGTAAATCACACCTTGAAATAGTATCGAGAAATGTGGTTTCAATATTGGAAATCTTTGCTATAGCTTTACAATATATTTTCATCTTTAATTGTAAAATTTTATGTTTCAAAAATAGTGTAGATCGAGCAGATCTATGAAAACTTGAAAATCATTGACGGTTCAAAAATGTGTTACAAGATGCACTATTTTTCAAACTTGAAATCCATATTTTTCTCATGTCCATGCATCTTGAGGTCGAGATGATCAATTTGAGTATATTTGGGCATCAAAGCAACGTCTTCTAGTGAAATTTTTAAAGTGCGGCCTAATTTGATTGTTTAAGAGCCCCGCACTTATATAAACTTTTTCCTAAGATAAAAGATGGAATGCCGAGGAATTTGATTTAAACATTAAGAAACATTAAAAAAAAAAGAAAAAAAGAACGGAAATAGAAGAAAAATTCACAAATCATGATAGAAAACATACATATTCTATGGAAATGCATTTAACTACATCAATTCTATGGAACTAATTGAATTTCTATTACCCCAAGTTTGTAAATGTAAACCTGCCTTGTCAGCTTGCCCAGGTCGAGTTACTCGGTTATCCAATCCAATTCGGCCGAGTCTCGGAACACCGTAGAAAAGAGATTATCGATTCTTGGAATGGAATTGGTCTCCAACGGCTAGGGTGTTAACAATTAGGGCACTTCATCATCCGAGGTTAAAATTGCACCCATAACGAACCAAAAATAGAATTCATAAAAAAAGACGAAAAAAATGTATATGGTGCGCAATTTGGTAAACTCAATGACTGGATCCATGGTCTAAATATGATTTGAACGAGAAAAATTTGAACAAAAACAGGAAGATGAGAATTTACCAAAATTGATGGATTATATAAGAGTTGGTTACGCAAAGCCCATCTGTTTTTCCCTTAATTGAAGATCCAAAAAAGAATGTACAGACCTCTCAATCCATTTCTTCCCCTAAAAACTGTATTTGGAGCACCTAAGATGCTGAAAATCTGATGGATCTTGGATATATTCAAATGTATGCTCCAAAAAATTTGTTCGAGTCGAATCAATCATTGCGCTCCAAATCGAAATTATTTTCAGAACCACAATCATGTCTAACAATCGAAATACAGATTTTTTGGGTCCTCATACCATCCGAAAGATCGTTTTTTTTTTTGAAACATGAACATGCTTGTCCAAGTAACTTAGGTGAATTATAGACTGGTTTCACATGTATGAAATGTTATGATCGTTCTTAATTTAGCTGAGAAGTCCATAGTTTTTTCTCTCCCGGTTTAGTGGATGATACCAAATGATTTTTGGTTTCTAGAGGATGACACCAAATGTTTGCTCGTTGCTTAGGGAATGATTCAACACGTTTCCTCTCCATTTAGGCAACGAATCCAAATGTATTTCCTTATTATTTTTGTGATGATTCCAAATGTCTCAGATGATTCCAAGTGTGTGTTATTTCTTCAGGGAATGATCCTAATGACCCTTACGGCGACCATTCCGTCTCTTAGGCCACACCCATGCAGCACCAATTCGAGCCAGGCATGCCCAGGGCCATCGGGTGGCCAACTTGCTGTCCTCTACTCAGCATTTGCACTGGCAGGCATAGGCGTAGCAGGCACTCGCTTCAACATGGTGACAATGGGTGCAAGCCAATTTGACACCCCTGCAGATCGCGAGAGCTTCATCAATTGGTACTTTTGCAGCATCTACATGGCGTTTGTGATCGCGGTCACCGGTATTGTCTATGTTCAAGATAATGTAGGATGGGGTTGGGGCTACGGCATTTGTGCACTATTGAATGCCATCAGCATCTTGGTGTTCTTGGCTGGAAGGAAGAAGTATAGAATGATTGAGCCCGAGGGTAGCCCCTTCACTGGACTAGCTAGGGTTCTAGTTACGGCCGTTCGGAAGAATGGCATGAGACTTAGAGGTAAGGTGGATTCAGGGGATTACTATTATGGATGCAAGGAAGGCAGAGGTGGAGCTGAGGATGGGAGTGTAGAAATGATGCAGGCATTGCCTCCTCCTCCGAGTAAGCGGTTCAGGTATTGCTTTAGCTTATTGATTCTGTTTTTCATTCGTTTGTTCTTGGAGTTTTTATTGCAACATTGAAGTTTAGGGTTCTAATCTAGATACCTACCCCACCTAAAAATAAATAAAAAATAAAAAGGTAAATAAAGATGCTTTCCTTTTGATAAGGGTTTTAAAAAGGGGCATGGTTTTTATGAGTCTGCTTATTCATATGTAGATATGCACCCTCTGTCTCTATAACCCATTTTTGAGATGGATTTTGAACTAATATTTTTTACGAATGCCCAATCTGTAGAATGGGGAATAATAATATGTAAAAATAAATAATTTAAAAATGACAGATTTTAAAGAAAATTTTTGACCATCAGTTCCAATATGGGACTGCCACTTTTTCATATCCATCTTTGAGATGGATGATGGATGTGGGATGTGTCAGGGGACACATATGTAGAATTGCATCTCCTGAAGCACAAAGCGCTTTTCCTTTAAAAAGTAAGAAGAGTGCAACGCAGGCACACGTCGGTGCCAAATTATGTATTGGAGAGATATAAGGCACGTTTGTCTCGTAATAACGCAAACTTTTTTTTTTTTTGGCTCCTTGAAAACTTGTTTTCACCTTCTTATTAACCTGAAAAGTGTTTTCACGCCTAAATAAGTAGAGTGATGCTTTAAGGAAATATGAAGCACTAGCAACCATAGAAGGAGTTTTTCCTGTTGCTACACTAACTGCCACTTAAAAAAATAAAAAAAATAAAAACCACAAAAAAGTGGTCGTCCGTCTCGAAAATGCTTTCTCCTTTAAACAAGCACCCTAATGCCTCAAAATGGAATTCATAATAAAAAAACAGCTTATCTAGATTAGGAATCATCATCTAGATCAGGACTCGTGTAGACCAGCCCGGTGATTTCTAGATGGCTGCTTGGGCTAATCCGGCTACTGAAACACTGCTTTTGGGGATTCATGATTCGACAGCTCACTGTTACCTTTATATGTGGACAGTGGAGGACATATATGGTTGTTGCTTTGATACACTGAGGTGAACTTCCACGCACAAGAAGGCTTAACAGAAGATTATAGATGACCCCGAAATTCAACTTTATCCATATCCTACCAATAAAAGTTTTTGTATCCCACTTTAAACCTTAATACTATTTTTTTTTTTATATATACTCTTAAGTCAAAAGGTCAATGGATTTAGTACAAAATACCCTTACTCTTTCTCTTCTTCTCTATTTTGGAGTCATGTGATTCTCTTTACCCACACTCTCTTTCCCATAAGTAAAAACCTATTTTCTCTCTTTCTCTCTCTCCCCATCTCTCTCTCTCTCTCTCTCTTATTCTCTGTGTCACATTATTTTTTTTTACTAATGTTATGAACTTTTATTAAAGCAATGCTTCAAAAGTATGAGATTATACAGATTGGATCAAATCGTTATAAACTTACAAAAAAAGAAGAGAAACACCAAGTTTAGCTAGCCCATCAGCAACGTCATTGGCTTCATGTATGGTGTGACCAAAGCTAATCCTCAAATTAGGCTAGGCACATTGGCGTTGAACTTTTAACCAAAGAGTAAATAGGGACTAGAGGATCTTTTGCTCTTATCTACACCACTTGATAATATTCACGGAATCCCCTTTACTTACAATATCACCAATAAAACCCCTGTCGATGATAATATGAAGGCCTTCAGGCGTGGGGGAGACCCATTCCAAAGAGACTGTAAAATGAGATCTTTTATCCTTTCAATACTTTGAGACACCCCATCAAAGGTTCTCTCATTACGTTCCAACCAAATCTGCCATAAGACTGCACTTCTGAAAGTTTTCCAAATCACAACTCTTGTTTTTGGTAATCCAATGGCAGAAAGATAGTTAATAATGTTGATGAAATTCAAAGGTATCATAAGGAAAAAACCCAATAAAAAGAAAACCCAGAGCCATAAGCTAGAGGCACAAGGACATTGAAAGAAAAGATGAGAACAAGATTCTTTATCATTTTTGCACATCAAGCAAATGTTTGGAAAAATTTTACCCCTCTTTTGCTGATTGTCTACTGTTAAACATTTCCTTTGACATGTGACCCATAGGAAGGTTTGGATTTTAACTGGAACTGGTCATTTTCAAATAGAACCCAAAGAGGTATCAACCATATGGACCCGATCCATAAAAAAGGGTTTATATAGTGATTTGACATAAAAAAGTCCATTAATTTCTGATTCCCATATGACCAAGTCTTCGGCATTAGAAGAAATGTAAACTTGTTCAAGTTTTTGGAGGAGATTATAAAGCTACGAAATAACCATGTCTGGTAGCCTATTGTAGCGGCATCTGATGTTCCAAACCATACAATTAGAGGGAGAAAGAGAAATCAACTCCGAAAATTTTGCATCAGGTTGAGCAACTCTAGCAAATAGGTCAAGATAAGTAGAAGAGAGAGGTGCATCACCAAGCCATTTGTTGAACCAAAAGAGAGTGTTATCTCCATTGCCAACAAGTCATCTGATGTTGCTGAAAACAATATTTGTACAACTACAAATATTATTCTACATCTATGAGGTGAATTTGCCTCCTGTACATGTTTCAATCGAGTGGGTGAGATGATCGAAACCATATTTAGCATTTAGCACATCCTTTCAGAGATGAGAAGAGTCTTAAAAGATTTTCCACCACCATTTGGATAGAAGCGCTCAGTTTACAAGTTTAAGCTTTTTGATACCCAAACCCCCTAGCTTTCACGGCGTACAAACCTAGTCCCAGTTCACTAAATAAAACTTTATCTGGTTATCCTCCATATTACTCCAAATAAAGTTTTGTATATATTTTTCAATAAGCTTAATTACTTCACTTAGTATTTGTAGGACTGACATCAAATGCATAGGTGGATTTAACCAAAGTGATATGTCTATCAAAAGATAAAGTCTTGGCCTTCTATAGGTCTAATTTAACTTGATACATGTGAATAAGAGGGTCACAGGCTGTACGAGTGAGCTTACAATCAGAGATAGAAACTCTTAAATATTTAAGGGGAAACTTCTCAACTCTGCAATCCAAAATTGAAGCAAGTGAATCCAAAAGGCTGTTAGAGCAAGAGATGCCCACAATTGAAGTCTTATGGAAATTTACTGAGTCCCAAAGCTAGCTGGCAATATAAGAGGAATGTACTCAAATTCTGCATTTTCTCTTCACTGATATCATAGAAAATCAGGAGGTCATCTGCTTATTGCAGATGTGAAATTGTAAGCCCAGATGAGGAAACTTAAAAACCTGAAAGAAGGCATGTATTTACAATATTCTTAAACATCAAGTTAAAACCTTTTTCTACTAGGGTAAAAAGAAACGGAGATAGATGGTCTCCTTATCTAATGCCCCTAGAAGAATAGAAGAACCCTTTAGGAGATCCGTTAATAAGAACCGAGATATGGACCGAAGAAATGCAACCCATAATCCAAGAAATCCATTTGATATCGAAACCCATTTTTCTCATAATCTCACTGGGCACTTGTCATTCAACTCTGTCAAAGGCCTTCCCCATATCCAATTTAATAACCACTCCCAGCTACTCAGAAAGATTTCTAGAGTGAATGCGTTTTTGGGTAATAATAATGTTGTCAATGAACATACGGTCTCTAATAAAAGCTGATTGTTCATCAGAGATCGTAAAAGGGAGAACCAACTTATGTCTCTCTGCTAAAATTTTTGTAATAATTTTATAAAAACTAGACAAGAGACTAATTGGCCTAATATCTTGTAATGTGATCTGGCACATAAAGTGCCAGATCGCATTGAGTTCCAGTAAAGCAGCTTGTAATGCGGTTTGGCACCCAGTTTGTCGAACTGGTAAGAATTTGAGTTAAAGCATGTAATGTGGTCCGACACACTTTGTACCGGACTGCAAAAATCTTAGTAGCTAAAGAGAGAAAGAGATGGCAGGTAGAGAGAGAAAGAGAAAGACAGAATGAGAGAGAGAGAGAGGGAGAGAGAAAATAGGTTTTTTTTTTGGAAGAGATAGAGTGTGGGCAGAGAGAGAGAGTCACGTGATCCTAAAATAGATGAGAAAAGAAGAGTAAAGGCATTTTTATCATTAACTCATTGACTTTTTTATTTAGAGTAAATATAAAGAAAAAACAGTATCGGGTCTAGAGTGGGATACAAAAAATTTTAAGAAGTAAGATGTCTAGAAAATTGAATTTGGAGAGTTATCTATAATTTTCCCAAGAATTAAAAGGAGTAATGGGCTATCCTAGCTGCCGTTTCTTTTATGTTCCCATCCTTAATAAATTAAGTAGCTTTAGTTTATTCGCATATTTTAACCTTTCTTGTTTACTAGGATGTCTGACTCGATGATCAGAGTGACAAGTTGTCCCAATGTGATGTCATCAATTCCATTCTTACTATGAATAAGCATACATTTTCTTGCTGTTGTTTTTTTTTAGATTAGTACGGTAACAATATTTTACCCAAATCAGTCTCATTTTGTCAACCACAAGCCAAGTGATAATTAGTACACATAAAAATAAATGGTAAATCCATATATTAATTTCAGATAGTGTATAACAAATCCTTTGGGGTTCCTCCGCAATTAGTTCAATCTGAACTACCCACTTTGGTTTTTTTGTTCATGAATTTCCCTTTAGTTTGTTGTGATTCAATGTTTTGTTTTTTTTTTTTGGGTAACTCAATGGGGAAGACAGACCCTACCTATTTTTTTCTAACACTTTAGAAGTTAATTTTTTTAAAGTGCTTGTGGAGTGGTGGCAGTGAAATGGAAACCACAATGTGATGACAAGGGTGTATGGGTGCTACCATCACGGCCCCAACCCCTCTCCACCCTGAGATTCAAAGTTATCTTATATATTTCCTCTATTTGTGATTATTTTATTATGGGGGAGACATTGGTGCAGTGTGATTGTTATCCTTGTTTGTTTCCCACAATTTGTGAGCATTTTATTATGGGGGAGATATTGGGGTGGGGTGATTGTATGGCAAGGTGGCAATGGATTAGGTTGGGCTGGGCTAGCCTTAGCCTTGCCTAGTCATGACCCTTATTCTCTTACGGTCACCCCAGGACTGGCCCGACTCTAATTGGACCAGGGTAGGGCTGGCCCGGGTTGGAAACAAATGAAGAAAGAAAAGAAGAAAAAGCCAAAAAAAAAAAAAATAGCCTAGCAGGGCCAGCCTTAGCCTTGTCTGGCCCTTGGGCCACATTTTATTCCCCAGTCCCATAACTTTTTAGAACTGAGCCAAACCAGGCTACCCTAATTGTCAGCCCTAATTGTATGCAACTAATTGTCAGCCCTAATTGTATGCAACTACACCTTATAACGCCTTGCAAAAACCAAAATTGGCATTGAGAACACTGCCCAAATTGATTTGTGGCCCATCTGGATTTGTTTCATCACTCAATCTACGTCCAAGATGGATGTGGGAGGTTGCCGCCTCTTAAAATCGTGGTTCATAAAATATTTCCCCTTTTATTATTAATTTTACACATTAATTTTTTATTGGAAAATTGTTCGATAGCGCTCCATTCCTATCAAAATAAGTAAATCCTCATCTCATAAATCAGAGAAAATTGCAATTCAAGCGGTGTTCGTAAAATCGAACTGGAATGGTTAATCGGACATGGGCCTGGAAGCGGTTTAACCATCGTAACTGGTAAACCATCGTGACCAGTAAACCGTCCTATTCGACTTCTCTAACCGGGGCAAGTCCCGGGCAATCACAAAAGAGTTGAAAAAAAATTAAAAGATACAAAAGAAAATACTAAAATATGAAAAGCATAGAAAGAATGATTAAAACAAAATACATTCAAATGAAGTTGAAAATTAATTCAAAAAATGGATTTTAACGAATCGATTTATGCCTAGGGGTGTTTTTAAAATTTTCCAAAAAATATTGGAAAATATAAAAGTGAGTATTAATGGCCAAAATAATTTTTAGTCTTTACCATAATGTAAAGAATATTACAAACTATATTACAGATCAAATTTCTTATTTTTTGGAATCTATATACATTTTTTTGAAAAAATAAATTTAAATACTGGTTGATCACCAAAACCGTTGAAAACTGGAACCGACTAATGGCCAGTTCCGATCTAACTGAGCGTTTAGCAGTTAGATCGCCCGGTTTTGCGAACATTGAATTCAAGTATTGAAAAACCTTTAAATCCATCATCTCGGCTTGAACAATATGGTTATAATATATATTCAAAATTTTAAAAATAGTGTACATTGCAACAAATCTTCTAGACTGTTCATTTTGCCCTAAAAATAAGTGTTCACAGGTAAGCAAGATTTGTAATTTTTTTAAGTTTTAAATTTTATTTTTGGTGTCAAACATTGATTTTAAAGCCATCATGGTATTTTTGAGACCATATTGCTTTTTAGATTGAGGATTTGAGATGAGGTTTTATTTTATTTTTCATAAAGATAAGGTATTATAGAAACTTCATCCCTTAGTTATTTATTTTCCATTATTTCTCTTCTATTACATTATTCACATTTAATATGTGACGGAGGCTATTATTACTTTTCGTACTTGCACTTGAGAAGCCTTTGTGCTCAAGAAGGCATGATCCAAATGGCCATGATAAAAACCCATCATAATCGTGACCACTGCTAAAGATAACAACATTTATGAACTTTCATAAAAGAGCGAGGTTTGTATAAGGTGCCCACCTTATACTAGTACCTCTAGATTTTATTTAAAGATGCAATTTTGGTGTCCACAAGCTTTTAATCACTTGAAAATTTATGTTCAATCCTAATTATGAAATTCAAAATTTGAAAACAATGCCAATCGAGTAGACATATAAACATCCGAAAATCTTGAAAATAGACGGTCCAGATCACTTGTTACAAGATACATTATTTTTAGAACTTGAATTTTATTTCTTCTTTATATCCATACATCTCGAGGTTGAGATAATCAATTGGATAATTTTCCAACTTCATAATACTCTTTTCTATTGAATTTTTTAGGTGCACCTTATTTCTATACTATAAGGTTGCAACCTTATATAAACCTTTTCATTTAGAAAATGGTTCACGTCTTGCAACCACATGTCGTCGTTCATATTGAACCAAACCTCCTCCAATGATCAAAGATTAATTTTATTGTTCTAATTTGGTTATTGTTTATGAGTAATGATGCTTTGAGACCTTCCCACAACCATGTGTATAGGATCTCAAAGGATCACCATTAAATTTGGCATAGATCACTAGAAAAGTTATCACATGGGTGTGCGATTTGACTTTTCTAGATATCTGTGTCAAGTTTAATAGTGATCCTTTGGGGTCCTACACACATGAGTATAGGAGGGTCTCATAGGATCATTACTCATTTTTTATTCGCAATATTTTAATTATTTTTATTTAATTCTCTTTATAAAAATAAATTTACATCCCAAATGTTTTATAATATAATATTTAATCAAAAAATAGAATAAAATACAAAATTACGTTTTGGCCATCAGATATAGCCTTATGAAATCTCAACCATCAACATGATATCGACGGGATACTTTTCCTTATTGTAAAGTTAGGTGCATTTTGATAAATTTTCTTAAATAAAAACTTAAATTTACGCCTCAAAGCATCTAGCGCAATGGTGACCTTTATGAATCTCATACATCTGCAAAATCTATAAACCTTCCTATTCTTTATTGGGAAAATTACAAAAAACTCTCAAAATCATATTTTCTAAACAACTTCCTCCCAACCAAGTTTTTTTTAGCAAATTTTACCCCGAATTTAATTTTCTTAGCAAATACCCTCAAGTCAAAAAAATGATAAAAAGAAGACCACAATACCCTTTGGAAAGCATGCGGTCTAGCACAAAATGAGGGGTCTAGCACTTTGCTTCTGGAAAGCATGCGGTCCGGCATAAAATAGGAGCGGTCCGGCACTTTGGGCATTGCGGTCCGGCATAAAATGGGGGCGATGCGGTACCTTAGGCTTCTAGAAAGCATGAGGTCAGACATAAACTGGGAGCAGTTTGGCACTTTGGGCATTCGAGGCGGCACAAAATGAGGGCGCTTCGGCACTATTGGCATTTTTCAACAAAAAAGTATGACTTTTTTTACTTGAGGACTATTTGCTAGAAAAGTTCAATTTGGGGTAAAAATACTACAAAAAAAAAAACTTTGTTGGGTTAGGTTGTCTAGAAAATCTACTGTTCGGTTTTTTTTTTTTGAAAAAAGTTTATATACAGTTGCAACATTGACATGTAGAACTACGGATGCACCACAAAAATCTATCGGAAAAGGTTGTTTTAATGTTGAAAAACCCACTGATTGATCATCTCGACATCGAAATGTATGACTACGAAAAATAAATGGATTTTGAGTCTCAGAAACAGTGCATCTTACAACATATTATCTAGACCGTCCATTTTCAATATTTTCATATGTTTATAGATCTACTTGATTTAAACTATTTTGGCAGTTTAAAATTTTATAATTAAATGTAATAAAAGATTTTGAGATAATCCTAAAAATATTTACATCAAAATTGTTATGATAAAATTTGAAAGTGCGCCTTAATTGGATTGTTTAAGGTTGCAACCTTATGGAAACCACACCTTTTTTTTTTTTCTTCTTCTTTCTTTTTCTTTTCTTTTTTATAATTTTTCCTTCTTTATTTTTATCTTTATTTTTATTTTTATTTTTATTTTTATTTTTATTTTTGTTCTTTGAAATGCTTGTAATGCATAGCTTCTTGAACCGAGCGGCACTGAAGGTCCAAGGTGACATGCACCCGAGTGGCTCGGTGGCCAAGCCATGGAAGCTCTGCACAGTTAAACATGTGGAGGACCTAAAGACCATACTCAGCATTGCCCCCCTTTGGTCTGCAAGCTTCCTTCTAAGCACATCGATTGGCGTCCAGGCAAGCCTTTCTGTGCTCCAAGCCCTTGCCATGGACCGGCATCTCGTATCACACTTTGCCATCCCTGCCGGCTCTTTCAGCGTCTTCACTCTCCTTTCCTCCGCCATGTCCTTAATTCTTCTCGATCGCCTGATATACCCATTCTGCATGGCCCATCTTCGCACACCGACGTTATTGCAACGCTTGGGCATCGGCCATTGTCTGAACTGTACAGGGATGGTAGCCTCTGCATTGGTTGAGGCTAGGCGACGTGCCGTCCTCAAAAGTCATGGACTCATAAGCATCCCGGCCAATGCTGCAGCCCCTATGTCTGCTTTATGGTTGGTGCTACCATTGGCTTTGGTGGGCTTGGGGGAGGCCTTCCACTTGCCAGGACAAGTGGGGTTGTACTATCAGGATTTCCCAATGGCGCTGAAGAACACCGCAACTGCTGCTGTCGCTGCGGTCATTGGGTTAGGATTTTATTTGAGCACCGCAGTTGTCGACTTGGTGCAGCGCAGCACCAATTGGCTTCCAAACAACATCAATGCCGGACGCCTCGACAATGTGTACTGGATGATGAGCGTGGTAACATTGCTGAATTTTGGGTATTTCCTCATTTGTGCGGGTTTGTATGGGAACCAGAGTAAGGATGGGATTGATGAATCAGTGATAAAAGAGGAGAGCAACAAGTAAGGGTGAGAATTTTTGTTACTTGGTTACTGTAAACTGGGCAGAACTAGAATTTCATTGTCTGAGGTAGATGGTGAGTTCATAGCTGCTGCTTCTTTTTTTCTTACCTTTTGGGTATGTAATCCCATAGCTACTATTTTTTTCTTTTGGTTTCCCATGGTTCCAGCAAAAGCTATGAAAACCCCTTGGATTTTTTGTTCTGTGGGAGGAGCATATCATGGACCGCAGGGGCATCCACCGTCTATTCCCGACTAACGACGATTGAGATTTACTGCACCAGAGCAAATGTTTCTCATCAGTGACTAGGTCCAGCATCTGGTGATGCGAATCGATGCCCACTAGGGGCATTCTCGTCTGACTGTCCACTAGGGGCATTCTCATCTGACTGTCGTATAATGTACTCATGCGGTGTGGGATAATAGTTTCCGTTATTTATCCCTTTCTTATGAGTACGTGAATAATTGATTTTTTTTTTCAAATATGAATCATATACAAATGAAACTCAAAACATCGTGTTGTGGCGTCATGCCGCTTTGAACAACCATAACTTCAAGATTCCTTTCATTTTTCAACCTTTTTTTCGTTGGTCTACGTACCATTGGGTCCACGTAAAGCTTTTCCTTCAATATATCTCCCACAAGATCAAGAAGATGAACAACCTTACCTGTGTTTTATTTCCTCTAATAAGATGGCTCCTTCAAAATGTTCCATAACTGTTTCAACAGCTTCTGCTTTTTTTTTCTTTTTCTTTTTTTTTTCTTGCAATTCTTCAATTGGGCATTCATGTAATCACATAATGTACCACAATAATGTATATCAAGATTTTTATTATTTACTGTAAATGTGGAAATTTTCTTCAAATATAAAGGGACAATGTCCTGGACTTTAAGCGTTCACTTGATGGCCTCAAGCAAGTTCTCTTAGGCCCTAATATTGAAAAAGAAATAGAGTGATCCTTAGCGATGACAAGATTTCTGCAATTATAGGCTTATTGCACAACTGAAGCGTGATTCACCTCGCCCCTCATCAACCCGAGTCACTCCCCATGGCTTGGCGTCGGTGACACCACAGAACAGAAGGTCAGCTATAGATACATTTGCCAATTCATGAAGAGCCTTGGAGGAGTAGAATGGGTACAATGCAACTCGTTCTATGACCTCGAAGCTGCAATCCTCGACTCATTCCCTAATCTCCTGCTGTGCTGCCGATTGGTCCTCTACACCCAAGCAACCACCGAAACTTCACTTTGAAAACAGAGGATGTATCCTTCGGGAGCTTCACCCTCTTCAAAAAACGCTCACTTCACGAGCTCGCTCTTGCCCTTGAGAACCTAGGCAAGCCATTCCTTTGTGTGGCCCGATCGGACCACATAGATAACGCAGGGGCACCATACCCGGAGGTGTTACCCCCTAATCTTGATGCTCTACTACCGCCACTCCATTCGGTTCAAAGTGACCCACTGCCTTTTACGCGGTTACTTTTGACATTATACCACCGCTTTTTTACTTAGCTTCATGCACCGCCTCTCTCACAGTTTAAAAGAATATTCTAGATAGAGAGAAGAGATGAGATGCGGTGATGAGGACAAATTACTTTTTTAACATCCCTTTAATTCGTTACTCTCATCATATCTCTTAATTGAATGAATTTTTTAATTGAAATTGTCCTACAAGTCAGTCATTTGTGTTGATGAATTTTGGTTCGATTTCTCGTTTTTTTGTCAACTCCCTAATAAAATGATGTCGTATTTTATTGTGCTTCAATCGGCTGTGAAATACTAGATTTTTTGTTATTGTAATGGCTAACATATCACAGAAAATTATTGTGGGGATATTCTGCTTTTGTTGTAAATCTAATAAAAATTTTCTGAGTCAAACAGCTTCACACGTTGCACTTGTTGCTTAAATATATTCAGCTTCTGCTGACGACAGAATAACAGTATTTTGCTTTCTTGATGACCACGATATCACCTTTATACCTAGGTAGAATATATAGCCGGAAGTGCTTTTTTTATCATTAATAGAACATGCCCAAACACTATTAGAAAATCTAACAAAATTAGTATCATTTTCAAAAATATATTTGATACCACATTTCTTTCTTCCTTAGATATATCTTAAAATCCTTTTTGCTGCTACAAAATATAGTTTATTTGATTCATTCATGAACCTAGAACAAATACTGACTGCGTGCACAATGTATGGCCTTGTGTTTGTCAAATAAATTAAGGATCCAACCCAGCTTCGATAAATCGATGCATCAACTTTTTCTGCACCATCATAATTTGACAATTTTTTATTCACATTCTAAATTTCTTCAAGATACCTTCAACATATTTTCTTTGAGAGATAAATATTTCTCCATCTAGCTATTCACTTGAATTCCAAGAAAATATTTCATAATTCTCAAATCAGTCATTTCATATTTTTTCATCATAGTTTTTTTCAATTCTTCCACTATTTTTCGTTTGTACCAGTATATTCAAATCATCCACATAAAAGCATACAATTAGGGAGGAATTTCCATTTCCCTTTTTTAACATAAAGTGAGGTTCACTTGGGCTCCTTTCAAATCCATTTTTCTGAAAATATTTATCAATTTTTCTATTCCAGGCTCTTGGAGCTTGTTTTAGCCCATACAATGCCTTTTTCAGTTTATAAACTTTTATTCATTTTTTTTTTTCAACAAAACCCAATGGTTGTTCAACATAAACTTATTCTTCAAGTTCCCTATTCAAAAAAGCAAATTTTACATCTAACTAAAAAAATTAGAATTTTTAATTGGGCAGTTATGGACTAAACAGTTCGAATGGTTTCCATTCTGACAATAGGGGCAAGACTTTCATTGAAATCTATTCCAAGTTGTTGTGAATAGCTTTTTGCCACTAGTCGAGCTTTATGGTTTTGAATCGACTCATCTTCATTATATTTGGTTAAGTAAATCCCTTTCAAACGAATTATTTCTTTCCCTTTTGGGTGATCTACTAATTTCCCCTGTCTTATTTTTCTTTATAACAGAAATTTCTTCATTCATGGCATTTACCCAAGTTTTCTCTTTAACTGCTTCTCCAAAATTTTGTGGTCCACTAGAAAAGAAAGCAACATTACATGATTCATAAATATCTGAAAGAGACCTTATTTTTCTGGGCCGCGCCTTTGAATCTGAAGAACTTGGACTTAGACTTTCTTGTCTTGGACTGTCTTGTCTTGGACTTGAAGAGCTAGAATCATAACTTTATTTGAATCATCATTCTCTAAACTTTTTGTTTCTTGGCCAAAACTTTCAGTCCAGTTCCATTTGACTTTTCTCATCAAAGATAACAGCTCTAGAAATTGCCAATTTATTTGTTTTTGGATTGTAAAGTGATAAGCTCTTAAAACTTCACTGTATCCAACAAAGATATATTTTTCACCTTTTTTATCAAATTTTTCTCTATCTTGAGAAGTGCTTTCCCATAAGCAATTCATCCAAAAACTCTGAAATAATTTACTTCTGTTTTTTTTTATACCAAGCCTCAAAATTTATTAGGAAAGTTCTTACCTTTCAACATACTTTGAGCCATTTCAACTATTGTTTTGTTTCTTCTCTCTGCTACTCGATTTTGTTGTGGGGTATATGTTGTTAACTCTCTTCTAATTCCATTATTTTTGCAAAAAATCCAAAATTCTTTTGACGTAAATTTTTCTCCTCGATTTGTGCTCAAGGCTTTTAATGGAAAACCACTTTGCTTTTCTACATCAGCTTTAAACTGAGTAAAAACTAAAAATGCTTTCAAATTTTTAACTAAGAAATATACCTACATCATTATGTTGTAATCATCAACAACTAAAAGAAAATATCTTTTTTTTTTATTAAAAGTTTTTGTTTGAGTCCATCCACATATATCTGCATGAACCAGTTCTAATGGAGCTCTTGTTCTTCCTAATACTACTCTGAAAATAGCAATCTATGTATTTTCCATAGATACACCATTCACATATTTTTCTTTCTTCATTTATTGATAGTAGTCCAATTACTATACCTTTCTGATTCATTAATTTCAAACTTTGAAATTTTAAATGCCCAAATCTTAAATGTCACAAGTAAGATTTATCAATATTTTTATAACTCAATACATAATTTTCACATGACGACATCACCATAGGAAAAATCCTTGTTTGGGTCATTTTCACCTTGGCTATAGTTTGTTTATTTTTCTTATCAAAAATCACACATTCATCTCTATTGAAATTGATTGAATACCCTTTTTCCATTAATTGACCAACACTTAAAAAGATTTTGAGTCAAGCCAAGAACATAAAGAACTTCATAAGTTAATTTAGGATTACCTCCTTTTGGTTTTACTACAATAACACATTTTTCTTTAACATTTTGGAGCTTGCCATCACCGAGCTTGACTTGAGAAGTGACTTTCTTATCTATCTCAACAAAACTGCTTCGATTTCCTGTCATATGATTGCTACAACCACTATCCAGATACAAAATATCATGTGAATTCTGTTGAACATTCATGTATGAATAAAACATATGATCTGTATTATTATTATTTTTTAGAAAAATGTACATTTTCTTTGTATTTAATTTTTCTGTTGAAACCAACAATCTTTTTTAGAATGATTGGGGTTTCTCCATTTTTTACATTTATATCTGCAATCTCTGGATTCATGCCCGGGTATTTGCAAATAATACAGTAAGATTCAAATTTACCTTTCCATCTGGATTTTTGTGGATGTTGAAATTATTTATTCATCTTCCTTGGCTTTTGGAAAAAAATTGTCTTTCACAACCTCTTCGACGATTTTGAAATCCCCCCCTTTCTTTATTTTCTTCAATACTGTTCTTTTCTGAACTGTCATTTTTTTACTGAAAATCTTGTTCTATATTCTGGTTTGAAAAGCTGTTCATTCTTTGCTCATGTGCTTCAAGAGACCCACTTAATTCCACTTAATTCTTGTAATGAAAATTTAGATAAATTGTTTGACTCTTCTATAATAGCTACAACATGGTCAAACATTACAGGCAAGCTTCTCATTTTCTGGACAACTTTTTTATCAAGAATATCATCTCCATAACGTCTAATTTGATTTATTATTCCAGCAACTCTAATAAAAAAGATCTAAACAATTTCTTTATCTTTCGTTATCAAATTATCACTCTCCATAAATTTTGGAGTTTCATAAAAAATCACTTTTTTAGATCCCTGAAATTCACTTTCAAAATATCCCAAGCTTCTTTTGATTTTGAAGCAATTTTTTTTTTAGGAAATATAGATTTACTTGCACCTTGCTGGATGAAAAAAAAGGTTTATGCATCTCTCTTTTTATTTTCCTTGAATTCATTATGCGTTGCCTGTGACCACAAATCAAGTGTTGTTGCATCTGCTGGTACTCCATAACCTTTTTCAACAATATCCCACAGATCTTGTGAGATAAATAGAGTCTTTATTTGGAGACTCCAGGAGTCATAATCTTCTCCATCTAATATGGGTATTAGATTTTGAGTATAATTCATACTTGAAATTGATGCAACAAGTAAATGCGTCTTTTAAGAAACACGAATCTGGCTCTGACACCAATAGTTGGAAATTTGCAAAAACATTGATATAATAATTTAATCAGAAAATAGCAAAGAATACTAGTAGAGGTGAGGAAGCAATATTAATTCAAAAAAAAAATTCACTATTGCATTTGAGGTGAAAGATATGACATGTTACTGGAAAGACCACACTCACTCACGTTTGACACCTTTTTGCTCTCCCTTTTTCTTCTCACACTAAAGTAAGTATGGTATTGATGAATCAATGACAAAAGAGGTGAGCAACAAGTAAGGCTGAGAGTTTTTGCTACTTGGTTAGTGTAGACTGGGCAGAACTAGAATTTCATCGTCCGAGGTAGATGGTGAGTTCTGCTTCTTCTTTTTTTGCCTTTATTCTTTTTTAATCTCCTTTTTGGTATGTAATCCTATAGCGACTTTATTTTCTTTTTATTCCCCATTGTTCCAGCTATTTAGTGGAGATCGATGCTATTAACAATGACATTCCTCTAACTTAACACAGGGAATAAACCGGTTTGCACTGAACCATTCATATAAGCGGCAGATTAGGTGCTATTCATCTTTGATGCCTTACAGAAAGTACATATGTTACGAGCCTGTTTGGATGTGTTGCTGATAATTCACTGTTTCAATAAAGTTACTCCTAACAATAAGTTATCGTTTGTTTGGTTGTATCCATCGTTTCTGAGATAAGCTTATACGCAATTTTACATGCAAGTTTATCGTATTGAAAGGTTGTTTTTTTACTTTATTCGAAGTAATTTTCTTAGAATCACATATTCTTGGCTAAAATAGCTAGATATCAAGGAAAAGTTAAAAATTTGAATAGATAGTATACCTAGTACAAATATGCACCAAATAACTAACAAAATGGTATTATCCAGAATATATTAATTTCAAATAGGATAATATATTCTTGATAAAATCAGTAATCATCCAGACATGCTCCATATAAATCTAGAAAGTGATTTTACATGCCCACTCACATATATAAACACCAAGCGGTTAAGATTAATAGGAAAGTTGAGCGTCTGTGTGCCTCACTTAGAGGCACTTAAAAGCATATAAAGGAATAATTTATAAAAGATAATTGATCAAAATACCCCTAAATATTTAATGATATTTTTAAATTTTTTATTTGCAAATTTATTTTTTTGATGCTTTTTTAGGTGCACCTAAATAAGAAGAGTGGACATCCAAAATTTCAAATTAATAAAATATAAAAAATAAATAAAATTAAAACACTACATGCACTCATGGCGGTCCATTTTCTTCTCTTCTAATTTGAATCGTTATATAGAAAACTACCATTAGGTTGCATCTGCAAGTAAATAGTAACTTTAGTTGGCCTTTGAGTGGACCTATCTTGATCGGATGGCTCATGGTGCATTTCTTATTTGAATTTTATTTTTTAAAAATCGTATGGACCTAAATTTTGCAGCATGTAGCATGTATAGTTCTTACAGGGGCACATCTATTAAAAATACAACTTTATTTTAAACAAATCAGATTCACCAAAATAACCCTAGAAGTTGTAGCATCATTTTCGTCACTCTTAAGAGAACTAGATATGTCACTCTTAAGAGAACTAGATATGTCCCAAATATCAGGACAATAAAGTAAAAGGGTGTTATGCACTCCGCACCATCCAGTCATGATCGGATTAATGTTATCAAATTCGCTTCTCTTTGACACGAAGCTTGGTACTACCCCTTCAGTGAGATTCGAACCTCTTCGAGCTGCTTCAGTCAAATTCGGGCAGCTTCAATTATGCTTTAGCAAACAAAGAAATAGCTATATAAATGTTTTTTTTTTTTCATTTTTTTTATTGTTATTGTTTTCCATTATTTGTATATATTTTATATATAAATATCTAATTTAAGTATAAATTTAAATAAAAAATCCATAATCTTCCCCTGGATCCACGGAAGCACCGAATTGCTTCATTTTTTCACCGAACACTCCGAAGCGAATCTAACATCGGATCAGATAATTAGATGTGCAACCAAAATTACCGTAGCGACTACAAATATCATCAGAGTGACAAAGGCCCCTTGATAGCGTGAACTTCAACATGGAATCATGTCAAATTTGAGCAGGGTACAAAACTGGACTGGTTACAATTAAAGGAATACACATTTCTTGGAAGTTGACACTTACAATAACCTCAATTAACACAAAGTATACGGTCATAGTATCGAAGGAGTGTGTACAACTGCCAACAAATATATAAATGTCCACACCTATTGACATGTGTCACTTTGCAGTACCACTGGCACTAAAAATAAGAAACTACTTTGGTATTTTTGGACTCTTCTTTAAATTAGCTACTAAGTCGGAGGACTTGGACTAACATAAAGTTGTTTAATTTCGTATAGAGATGCTTATATTTCAGGTCATTTGTGTGATGTCCTCCTAATGTTATGGATTGGACCTAAGTTACAAGGACCTCAAGGGTATTCTATATTAACGATCAGCCTAAATATCAAGAGAAAAAATAATAAACAACCAAAGTATATATATATATGCCTAAAAAAAAAATATTCTACGAATGAGATCATCCAATTTATGGTTGGTTAGTTCCAAGTGTCTAGAAGCTCAAAATCTCCGAAAAAAAAAACGTATTTGATGATTATGAGAGGGACCTTAAAATTTTAGATCAAGAAAACAATTTTAAGTAGGCCATTTACCTGAGAGAGAAAATAATACCATAACTATAATCCTTGAGAGAGAATATATGTATAATATTATCCTGAGGGAGTGCACCATATGCACTCTTTCTTATTTCCACCCTTAATTATAAAACTTAAAACTCCAAAAATAGTATAGATCAAACATAACCGAAAACCCTTAAAATTCTAAAAAATAGATGATCTAAATAATGTATTACAATATACAATATTTTTAAGACTTGAAAGCCCATTTTTTTCATATTCATATAGACCAAGGTAAAGATGATCAAGGGTTTTTTAGCATCATAACAACTTTTCTCGATGGGATTTTGATATGCACCTTACTTCTTTATTTATGGACTTGGAATCTCTCAGAGCTCAATATAGTTTGGGTGACTCCTTAATCGATTAGCCATGTGTTCGCACAGTGGAACTCCCCTCCATTTACCAAAAAGGATATTCAGCTAAGGAGATCGCTGCTGGTTGCAGTCCTTTGGAATATTTGGCATAAGAGAACAAATAGAACATTCCAAGACAGGATGAGAGATGCCAACCAGATTAGTGTCAACATTCTAAATCACCTCTTCAATTGGATGCAATCTTTGCCTTTGATTTGGTGGTATCTTCAGAGCAGACTTAGATTCCAACCTGCATATATTGTCCTACCTCAAGAGACTGACAACCACGTGGTCTAATTCATGGAGATCTCCTCAAGAGGGTTCGGTGACAGTTAATTTCAATGCAAGTGAGGGAGAGAGAACTCAAGTTGCAGGGTACAGCGGGCTACTGCAAGATCACACAGCCAATATTATTTGGACTTATTCAGGTAGGCTCCCTTTCTGTAGTGCTAATGAGGCAAAACTGCCTCCACTGAAGGAAGGAGTCCTAAGGCTGCAACATGGCTATCAGAGGGTAATTGCAGAAGGGGGCTCCCACAATATATTTACATGGTTTCAAGAACCCTGCTCCACTCCATGGAGATATAGAGATGTTATGTATGAAATTCAGATGGAACTTGATGGATTGCAAGTAGTCTTCCAGCATGTTCATAGGGAGAACAATGAAATAGCAGATGGTATACATTTTCAAAAAAAAAAGCAGATTGTATTGTAAAGAGTGATATTGTATAGAACATTGCTCCCCGGCGTTGTCTGTCTCCTTTGCTAGAGTTTTTCTTCATAATTGTAACTTTTCTCTATTTTTCTTTTGCTCTGATTCTTTCTTCTGCTATTTTTCGTTGGGACGTTTCTCTCGGAGCATCTCAGGCAAAGGATGCCCCCAGAACCAGGTAGCCCAGCTCCTTGTATAGAGTAGAAGACGAGTTTTGATCGTGCATGCGTTCAATGTACATTACATTCATAGTTATACAAAGTGAATATTCAAAAAAAAACGTTGATGCTTTTATACAAACCTTTTTCTTTATATATTACCTGGTTTAAAATGTCTCCCAAGTATTTTGAATAGTCGGTAATGATGATCCCACACCTAGAAAAAGTGGAAGGATACTGAGTCCCCCAAAACGAAACCACGATTAGCAAGCAACTCAAAAATGACACGATTGGCACACAAAGGTGTGTTTCTTTGTCCAACAATTGAACCAAGTACATATTTACCAGCAAAATTTGGGTGAGAAATGGGGATTCAAGGAACACTCCATGTGATCTAGAGTTACTCAGAAAAATAATACCTTTGGAGGTACGATGAGATGGGAAAAACATACACACTATACTCCGTTTATGAGACATAGTCAATAGGTCTTAGATGACAAGGATCTTGTTAATAAACTCACTTGAGTTCCCAATAATAATGGAAGTTTTACTTTCCACATGAAATGGATAATGAAAGGCGAATAAACGATACCTTAGCAGCTCTGTGGAAAACACCGATTCATCAAACGCTTTCTTGGTTCTCATGGTTAGTCCACCAAAAGCGGCAAGTTACAAAAGTGGGGTGCAAAGATGGTAACTCCAATTGAGCAACATGTCATATGTGCAATGCCAATAATGAGAGCCACAACCCCTATTTATCTTATGCAACTGGTGAAGAACCCACTCAAACCCAGATCTTACTTTGCAAAAAAAAAACACACACAATAACACTCAAAACCCACATAAAGTAGAATCCAATACTATTGAAGGGCCCAATTTAAGAACATAAAGCCCTGGTTTATATGTTTAAACATAACCCCCGGACCAGGATTCATATAGCCAACCCCTAATAGTTGGGAAGAGGCTCTGATGATGACAATGATAAGATGACGACATTTACCTCGTGTCCATATGGGCATCCCTGAAAAATGTAAAAGGAATGATCTCGACAACTGCCACTGTAGCCCACGTGAATACAAACATAACTCAAAAACTATCATCTTTGAGGGATTTGAGGACCCAAAATCTGTGATCCATTCCCGAGACCTCCAAGACTAAGATCCCAAAGAGAGAGAATTAGTATGATAAAAATGCTTCATATTGACTTCTCTTTCAACATGTAATGTACACTATCCATTTCAGGATCTTGCCCAGACAATCATTTCATCATCTGATGGATTTTGAGGCATAGTTGTAGTCAGCTACTACAACCGCAACTGATTACAACCACATTTGTACAAAAACCAGACCCATAATTTAATTTCAAAATAGGAGTTGAGACCCATAAGTAATACACAGCATTTGGCTCAGCATCTTTGAAAATTCCAGAACCACAAGGGGCTATCATTTTGAAAAGTATACTGTTCCCAAAACTCTTTTGGGTGCCCATTCTGGAGTGCACCACCTGCAATTTGTCTAAATGACTTTAGTTTTTGGGTTCATTTAAGTGATCAGCCCTCAATATTAGGCTTGGCCCAAGAGCTTAGTTTGGGAAAGCTTCCAGAATCCATTTCAGGGTGTAAGACGTGTGATGGTGGCTAATGCTAGGTGGTTTGGGACACAGTGCCACTGTTATTGTAATGCAAAACAACCTAAGTTTTTCGCTGTTCTATTTGTAAACGGGTTGGGACGCGGGACCCCTTTAAACTGAATGGTGCTCATGAAAGGCGACAGAGTGCCGAACATAAGCCATTACACGCATAAGCAATTGCCTATCCCAAACAGGGATTTAAGTTTCCAAACAACCATAAAGGAACAGGCTATCATGCATAACTTTTTTCTTTATCCTTCTACCTCAAAAAGAGTTTCTGACAGAAGAAAAGCATGAAGATATCATACTGATAACAGGACAAACCTTGTTGATATGATTAGGCCAATTTAGATGAGAAAATTGTGTATTGGGTACCCTTCAGTACTCATTCGCTCCATTATGCCTATCTGCAAAAGCAGCATCAATCAATTGAAAATATATTCAATAAGAAACTGTACTGAGAAGAAAACAAATGCTGTAACACATGATCCATCTTCAGTGTTTCCACTTGTTTAAACCATCCACTCTTTGTTTTCTAAGACATGCCCACAGTGACACCATAGTTTGATAGTCCCAGAACAAAGAGTTCAACTGTGAGTCAAACTGTTCTTATTTTGTTTCAGTAGTCGTCATTGGTTTTCTCCTCCAGGATTTCATCAATTATTTTCCTATTGGTGCCAAAGACCCGTATATTACAAATTTGAGACAAAGCATAATAGCTCAAGAAAGAAGAGAAGCCATGATCACAGATAATAGAACAGAAACATTAACTATCTGATTAAGTTGGCACTCCAAGTGCATTAACTATCTGTATCTGTTTCAAAAAAGAAAATGCGCACACACACACACAGGTTTGGCCATTTATAGAAATGACATAGCCACTTGAATAGACTATTTAATTCAATTTTATAGGGACAACATGAACTGGAATGTTACATCGACGAAAATTGAAAAATTGGGTAGTCTACGTCTGTGGTTAAGTTTTATGTGATACACTAATCTGTTGGCAGAAATTGGCCGTGAAAATTACATGGATATGGCTGAGTGCTGCAAAAGGTGTCCAACTAACTCTCGACCCTACTGAAACCAGGAAGGGGGACTAATTAACCCACTTTTGGCGTTATTAACTAATGACCGCCGAAAATCCGCCAAAAATAAAGGAATATGGATCAATGTTGGCCAAGAATTGCAAATTATTTTCTGATTGTGCTTTAATTTGTTGAGGATTTAAAATCTGATAAAAAAAAAAAACCAGCCAAAAACCTGCAATACTTATAGGTTGTGGTTTGTATAGAGCCCAGGCTCTAAACAATCAAATTAGAGCCTACCTTCAAATAGTGTCGAGAAATGTGGTTTCAATATTGAAAATCTTTGTGATAGCCTTAAAATATATTTTCATATTTATTTATAAAGTTTAAAGCTTCAAAAATAGTATAGATCAACATATCTACGAAAACTTGAAAATCGACGGTCTAAAAATGCATTACAAAATACACTGTTTCCAAAACTTGCAATCCATTTTTTTTTCATGTCCATACATCTTGATGTCGAGATGATCAATTTGAAGATATTTGGGCATCAAAACAACCTCGTCTAGTGAAATTTTTGAGGTAGGCTCAAATTTGATTGTTTAAAGCCACGGCTATAAACTTGTACCATACTTATAATAGGGAAACTTTTTGATGAGTTTTCATCCAAAATCCAGAACTTAAACCTTGGGATCTCGAGTGAATTTCATCACCATATATTTCATTTAAACTTCAATAAAATTCAGATCTTGATAATTCTAGAAGGATTTCATCAAATTTCAGCCAAACTTTCAATCATGTGCTGCAAAACACTCAATCATGGCTCTGATTATCAGGTAAAAATCATGGCCATTAGCAAAATCAACATTAACATTTACACCCATAAAAGAACAAAGGATAATGCAGCCTTCCGATTAATGCAATGATGTCAGTGCTATTACAAAAGTAACAGCATGATTATTACCTGTATCTCCGAGGTTATCAGCCCTGGTCCCTGATTAGCAATTCAAACATCATCCAAGGAGAACAAGGTTAAGTAGTACTCCAAGTATGCCAATATTGGACGGCATTGTTATAAAGGTCAAGCACATTCACCTCAAAATGTATCTCTTCCCATGATAAGTCTTTGTAGCTTTTTATATGCAATTTGTCCCAAGTACAAGGAGCTTGAATGCTCTCCACATGCTGCAGGATTCTCAAGCTATCTTGGCCACACACATAAGTTTCCAAGAATTCACATAGAAAACGAACATAGACTTAGCTGGAGAGGCCAATTGGATTATACCACACATTGAAATAGAAAGTCAAACCAGATTGTTTTGCTTGTTGTTATCCTGGTGCCAGTATCAGCGTTATTTTAACCATGGAGAATGTTGCTAAATACAATTACTACAATTACGCTACTTAATTGTTGGGAGCATGGGGATTGTCCTTAACTTTGTATACATACAGTTTTTAGTCTCACGTCCAAGATTTTCTAGGCACTAACATCCTTTCTATGCACCACTCGCACTTAGCACTCAAGTCGTCTTTTTAAGAAAGAAGGGAGGATGGGTTTTCAATGGTGCACCTTCTCTTTTCCCTTGCCTTTCGAAATATGTCCCGACCCAAGGTTCCATTGGCGATTCTCGCCAGCCATTCTTGATCCCTCAAGATGATCCTTACCAAAAAATTCCAAAAGTGCGGGCAGTGTTGAGAAAATTTAGAGAGAAAAAGAGATGGAGAATGGTGGAAATGGAAAACCCATGAGATGGAGAATCATGTCGTCTGGCACAGAGAAACCATCGAAACAGTGACCTCCAACTTTCACTTTTCCAGCCAAATTCGGCCCAAAATCCCTGGAAAAATTGAGAAAAATCAAATTAAAGTGAAAATTGATGCATTCAAGCATTTAAGCCAGCATTTCAAGGAAAGTGTGCCTCACAGCACCAAACCCGCACGCCCCTAGGTGAGTCCACTTTGCCTGCTTCGCAAGCTCCATGGGGGCACCAAAGCTGAACATGCATACCACTCTTTTATAAAAATACCCCTACAAAATGAACAAACTGCACTTTCAAAATGACCATTTTTTCAAGGGCATTTTCATCACCTTTTTGCATTCCAAGATTGCCAAGTGTTAGATTACCCTCAAGCACCCATTACTCCCAATGGAGCTCTTTATCTATAGAAATCATGGGTAACAGTTGTAGAGATATGGTTCTCTCACTCTAATCGTTCTTGCTCATTGTTTGAGGTGCCTTGGCTCCATGGGTAGCCTTTGCAAGGATACCCTGACCTAGGCCCTGCAAACCCAGTCCCCCCTCTCTATTTGCTTTTTGGTCCCCCTATCTAGTCCAACTCTGTATTACAGGTGCTGACCAGGTTTTCAGAGAGATCTTTAACAAGTGTTTGGGTGAATTTCTCCACTCTTGTATCCACCCTCAACTTCAGCAATGTTTGAACTTGTTGTAATCGCTTGGTCTGCTCATTTTCTTCATTTTCGTGCTATTTTGTGTAATTTAAGATAGAGGAAGGACAAGAAAAGGTAGATCCGTAGTTGAACAAGTCCATGTGTAGCATTTGGGAAGGCCACTATTGAGGCATGCTCAGTTTTTTATTATATTCCAATGGGTGATTTGTTTGCATGTTTAGTGTTACATTTTGTGGATTAAGTTTGGTTTTGCCTGATTTTCTATCACTCCTTTCCTTGCCCCGTGTTCAATATCATCAAACCCAAAAGGAAAAATCATACTCAGTTTTGCATGTTATGGTTCTCAGTATCAAATGCTTATGTATTGAGTATGGCCCAACACTAGAAGTCCGAAAAAGAAAGCATAACCAAAAATAATCCACAAAGCTAATACACTTAGCATGCAATAAATAACTTATAGAAATACAGTCAAACGCTAAGCATGCAGCAATTTATAGACACCCCAAATCCAACAGCAAATTCGCTGTTTCTTGTTTCCCCCAACTTGCATAATACAAAATATCATTAAAAGAAGGGAATGAGCTCAACAAGCAACCTTGATAAGCTCTCAAACAATCCTAAAGTCGAGTATTGAAACAATTGATAGAGAATCTTGCACAAACACTTGTCGAATGCAAAGGAGAAAGACCTTATGTTCAACCATACACAAACTTTATGCTCAGCACATAGTGCATGAGGGATTCCACATTTACTATACCGAAACATGATGAACTTCAAGAAAGAGAAGACAAAGAAGCCAATACCAATGCTAACATGCTTACTTGTAACAAAAGCCTCTTCCCAGGTGTCACGCTTGGACCATGATGGTGCAACTTCTAAAAGGGAGATGCCCTTACAGAAGCAAACTCTGCATGAATTTCTAGGATTTAGCCTAAAGACAAGCATTCAATATACAATTATAATGTGGAAAATTGCAAATGCAGACAGAATAAGGTCAATAGAAACAAATACACAGTCACAAACAATGAAACAGAACAAGCATGTGAGAGAGCGCATGCACACATTAAGAAAACAGAGGGAAAGTGTTCGAGTGGGTAAGGATGGAGAACTTTCTACACGATAAATGTGCTTATTTAAATATGACAAGGGATCATCATAAACTACAAAAAGGGCTGTTATTGATGACTGTTTCATGCTGGATCAGACAGTCAATTACAGTGAAAAAATTATTCAAACTCTAGTATTATGTTCATGACACATAACTTCTAATTCCCAGCCTTTGTTTTATGCCAAATCCCATGCATAATCTAATTTTCACCAAGAGATTTACACTTCTATTGAATGGAAATAAATTGTGCAAAAGTATACTCATCAATGCCGCTAGGGAATAAGATCAATTGTTGGGTTCAAATCATTTTGTCATGGAACGGTTATTTCCGAAGCACATGGAAGTAATAGTGTATAATGGGTATAATTGATCCCAAACAATTAACTATATCATTTTCATGTAAGCTGTTTTCCAAGTATCAGAGTAAAAATTCGAGTTCAGTCAGACATTTTCCACAAAGAAAATGGCCCCAGAGACCATGAACCCTCTAGATGAGCCAATGAAAGGATTAATTACCAAATGGACACCGTATTGCTTTGGAAATATCCAAATTTCTTGAATTATAAAGACCAGTTTGGTTAAGGAAACAAATTTTCAATTGGAATAACATCTTGGCTGACTATATGAACTTACTCAATTACCAGTTGGCGTAAGATACCGGGGAGAACACCATCACTTATAGGAGCAGTTTGTACTTCATAAAGATCCCATCTCCCACTACCAGATTTGTAATCATGGATGGAAGAGCGCATGTCCTACATTTGTAAGAGGAGCAAGCTGAAATAAGACTAAAAATATGATTAAAGATAAAAATTTACTGGTATAACTTGGAAATCAAGACATCTTTTCTGAACCCAAAAGAGAAAATTATGACTAACTTGTCATGTAATGCAAGTGATAAACTAAATAATAGAACTGAAGTTTGTTCATTTTTAAAAGCCGTGTTAAAAACTAAGGACCTGGGTGGGGACTCACTAGAGTCCCTATTACCACACACCTAACCAATCTTGCAAAAGACCTAGAAAGTCCAAGCATGCATAGGGATCCAACTCACTGTGATCCAGATTGGTTAGAAAGTTGAACAAGACAAGGTCCATCTCACCAGGACAGTAGAGTTCCTCCCACTCTTCAACACCCTGAGTTGATGATTCCAATGGACTCCAGTTCTAAACGGGGGACTGAGTGCCCAGGCTTTTATTTTCCACTCCTCAAGGCCGTGTAATTGGGGGTTATGCGAGCAAAATCTGCCTCCAAGGTAAGTTTCAACAGATCAATCGCTCAGATTTTTGGGGTGTTGCTCAGTCACTAAATGGTGCTTACTATCTTCTTGTGTAAATCTTATTATTATTATTATTTAATAATAACGTTATGTACCCCTTTGTGGTTATCTTGATTGATAACTTTGTGACTTTCATTTGACCACCATCTATACTTTGATTGGTATATAAGGGGATGGCATCCTTCCTGGTTATTTCATCCTTTCCCCATCGCTTGAAATCCTACCCTTCCCTATGCCTTCCATCGAATGCTACATGATATCTACCCCTTCCTCCTCTAGCCTCACCATCCTCTTCCTTTGCTATACCTTCCTCTGCCAGTGCCTTCTGTATTTCTGCTCCATTCCTTTATGTATTTTTTTTGTTTTTATTTCTCCATATTTTCTAACTCTGTCGAATGTCTTTTACCATCATTGCATCTATCTGTTCCCTTGCTCCTTCCTTCTCCCAATCTCCAAGCCTGAGTGATCATGATAGCCTCAACTACATCAATTCTAGATCATGCTGTGGATGTGCAACAATAGTGTCCCTGGAATATCTCACAAATGAGTCTCTCTAATTGCTGCCAAGATCCTTTTTTTGTTAAAATTAGCTTCCTTCTGAAAACCATTTTCATTGATTTTAGTATTGGCTGCTACAGGTCTTACCTTTCATTTACGTGAAGAAATCCATATAAATTTCCACCATATGTCGCCTCTTTTTGCAGATGGAGGGAGGAAAAGAATCTCTTATTTTTTCCTTCTATAACAAAATGGCCTTACTATGTCTGAAAGGAAATCTTGTAAAAGATAGGTAAACACAAGGTTGATTGCTAGAAGTCACAGAAATATGGGGACGTACATACAGTTAGCAGCAAATTTAGAATACGTTATGGTCCAAAAGAAACAATCTTTATTTTTTGGTTGGTGATTTCAAAATACTTCATAGAGAACGGCATGAGTTTAATGTAATTCTACGGGTACAACATGGCAGAAAACATCGCATAATGTTGCAGATGGTTATCAATATATTCATTATAATAGCACAATGTGTAGTACTAATGCCCTTTTATTGTTTTTGGTTGTATTTTCCATTATTTTGAAAATGCCATGTAAAAAAGGAAGATAATCAAAAATATTTTACTATTATGTAGTTGCCTCACTTGTTACATTACAGATATCCATGACATGGGTGGATCAAACGTGGTCAACCCATCTAGCACAAACTACCACCAAACAGCATGAGACAACAGGCCTCCAAATTGGATCTAGAAAAACCAACACTGATCTATAATCCATGTGAATATGTAGATATGCAAACCAGGAAAGAACTATTAAATGGGGGCTCCTTATCCCCACCATGTAGGAACAGATATTTAAAGACCCAGAACCCCAACATATACATGTGTAGCAATAAGGATCTTGTCCTAAAATGTCAACAACTCTTAGCAGGAATATTCTCGTCTTATGTACATGCAGCACAGTATAATATTTATTATCCTGTACATTCGTCATTATACAAGTTTATCATGTACATAAAATCATTTCTATCATTTTGTAACTACCTACATATGTACCTCAAAAATTATTTGACAACTTCCCTCATTCAAAGGAAGCTATTCTTCAAGTTGAGATGATTGCTAGCACTGTCTTCGACTGGCATGGCTTAAAACCACATCATGCCAGGTCTAAAAGGGGAAGAAGGCAACAAGGAGACTGCCCAGCTTGTTTAATGCTTTTGCAAGGTGGTTAAAGCCCTTTTTAGGTTGTCCATTTAACATAAAGAGTTATCAATGTTATCCCCACCCAATCTATGGTCCTTTCCAATGAATATAGGAGATCGTCTGTACCATGTAAATATATGTTCAGAATTTCCTTGGGACATTTCATTCAGTTTTGTGGGTAAACTATCACATTCTACCATTTGCTAATGAAAACCAGTGCCGTGAAAAATAAGAGAGGGAATCATAAGCACAAAAGTATCCAACCAAAGTAAAATAAGAACAATAGCCATTGCCATCCAATACATACAATACAAAATCTAGTATTTGAAACTCCAACTACTTGCCTTGCGACAAACAACAAAAAAGTTTGTCACATTGCCTTCCAATATTTGATCTCCATTGTTTGATAACAGGAGTTCAGTCACTCTAGGAGGCCTGAGCTTTTCCAAGTATTTCCTTGTCCTGCATGTGTGCTTGCATGTCTTAAATAGATGCTATTCATAGTTAATTGCAGAAAATAAAATGCGAAAAATAAAGTTCAATGAAATATAAACTGAAAAGCAAAAAGGAAATATGCATGTATAGGCATGGTACAGTGGATATTTTTCTTGCTGAACATAGATACAGATAAGCATTACCTCAAGACACAAAACAATTAGATGCTTAATACAGACAAGCACAATTAGAAGCTTAATATAGACAAGAACAATAACTGTCATTACCTTGTGCTGAGAGGCATTGTTTCAAAAAATGGCTCACCCAGCACCTACGCGGCCACCTAGGCCCCCAAGAGGCCATAGGCCACTCGCCTAAGCCTGGTGGGCCCTCTTGGGTTAAAGTTCCTAAGCGCCCGCCCAGGAAGGCAATGTGGGCACCTAGTAGAAGCCCAACGCCCAGTCCTGGGCGGGAGCCCGAGAACTTACATTAAAACGGCAGAATTGTTTGTGTTTTTTTCCTTTTGTGGGGACATTTTGGGTCATTTTGAACTGTGAAAAGGGGTGTTCTAACCCCTCAGTAAAAAACTATTCATATGCCTTAGAAACACCCAAAATTGATGGATTTTGTGATTTTTTTGAAACGAGAAAATTTTGAGAAGTCCGTAGAATCATCCAACAATACCATATCTTATCACAATCAATTTTGGGATCCAAATGAGGTTCTTAGAAGACTTTTGGGGTGGTATTGAGCTTGTTGGACAACCGAAAAATTGAGGATAAAACACCAAAACATCAAATAACCCCTCTTTCTTTTCATTTGTATAGCATCTTTTTGTACAACATCATTTTGTATTGGTCATTTGGTCTCATTGGAGACTTGCAGTCCATGAGTATGACTGTATGAAATATGAACTATAGATTATGGGCATAGACCAGTGTTTTCAAATGTGACCGCATTGCCGCATATGCAGCCGCATCAAGCGCTATGCGCTGCCCAGCGCATCGCACATGACCGCATATGCGGTTTGGAGAGATGAGCCCGCATACGCACCGCATCTCTCCACATTAGAGCCACATCCCGCATCGAGCGCATCAGGCCACATAATCTGTCCGCCATTTTTTCAGAAACTAAACCCCTCAAGAAGGGGTAATAAGGTCATTTTGACCTTCAAAAATGGGGGGAAAGGGTTTGGGGGGGTATTAAACCCCCCTAAACATCATTTTGCAGCCACATCTGTAGCTTTTATTGGATCGATTGAATCAAAAAAAAAAATTGGGCAGAAATTTTATTTGTTGAAGTTCTTCAATTTGTGCATTTCTTGATGCTTGGTTGTTGATTAGTATTTGAAATTTTGAATTTTAGAATCTCATTCTCAAGTCTTAAGAAATGATGATGCATTTGTTGATGCTTGGTTGTTGATTAGTATTTGAAAATTTGAAATTTAAAATCTCATTCTCAAGACTTAAGAAATGATGATGATTGTATTGACTACTCTTGAGCTTGACTTTCAAACTCTTTAATTTTCATGGATTTTTAGCTTGTACTATTTTGTAGCTTTTGCAGTTTGTGGTTGCAGATTTGTGCTTATGGTAGTTGATTGTTGAATGTTTTATGAAGCTAGTTTCAAGTTTCTAGTTTCTATTAGAGGATAGTGGATATATAATCTCTGACAACTAAGACTTGTGGAGTTAATGAATAAATTAAATACCTACTATCACATATATCACCTTTATATTTGTTTCTATGTATTAACCTATTCTTTTAAATTGCTTAGAATTGCTTTATATTTATTGACCGCATCGCAGCGATGCACCCACATCCGGACGGCATCGAGCCACATCACCGCATCAGTCCCCCCCAAAGCTAATGGCCGCTTCCCACATTTTAAAACACTTGCATAGACACTAAAACACTAAGACCCTACACTATGTATTTGTTTTTTTTTTTACAAATTTTGTTATCCAAAGAAGTAAAATTTTAGTGATTTTAACATGTTTCAACATTGAAGCGCATGTATTGTTAGTTGGAATACATATAAAAGCATAAGTATACATATACATTTAACACATACATAGGCATATATCTTCATTTAGATAGCACATATATACATATATGTGTATATCTCAAACCTCTGGGCGCCTAAGGTTCTAGGCGGCTGCCTAGGTGCCGAGCGCCTAGGGACCATCTTGCGTTTTCTTAAACCTTGATGAGAAGTCTTTTGATCCTTTAAAATATCAAAGAGTACAATGGAAAAGCAACTCTGGAGCAAGGCTCCCAAACCTCCTCTTTCGATTTCCTAACCTCGTAAGCCTCGGGAACGGCTAGGATCTGGCTCTATACTCATTACTTCGGCCCAGCAGGCCACAGGTGTTATCGTCAGGACTGGAGTCGACGCTTGCTAGAGCCGACATCCTGACATGTTCCAATACCGTTGAGAATCCTGCCCGGCCCTTTACCCCCCCTCGTCGACCCGATAAAGAACCCATTCTCGATCGTTCGCCTGGCTTGCCTGCTTCGTTGCCGGGTTCCTCCCTCGGACCCGGCCCTTCCTCCTCGTCTGTCTTTGTTTCCCCTCCTGCCGTTTTTCTCCCTCCTTTGAATGCCACGTCCCCTGGCGAGCAGCCTTTTTTGAGCCTCGCATTTACTTCCCCTGCCCCAATTCTCTCTTCGGGTGCCACGTCCACTGGCCCCGTTTTAACTCCCCCTGCCCCCTTTCTTCTCTCGAGTGCCACGTCTTCAAACGGCAGCCCTCAGCCGCCCACCTGTCGCACATGGCCTTACTGCCTCCGCCAACAACATGCTTCCCAAGTTCCTGCCCCCTCTCACCTACCTCCCCGTTCCTGCCACTTGATGCGCCTCCTTTTCTCTCCCCTCCACCTAAGGTAGCCTCTTCACCTACCCCTCTGCATGGTTATCCCCACCTTTCTCTCTCTCCTTTTGTTGCCCCTTCACCTTTGGGGGTACCTCGGCTTTCTCCCCTTCCCTCCATTTCGCTCCTGCCATCTTCTCTCCGCCACCTTCCTTCTTTGTCCAGCGCTGTTTTGGCCCCAGTGCCCCTTTCCTCCCTTCCCCTCGAACCTGCCCTGTCCTCCACCCATTCCCCTTCGATGGACAGCCCCCCTTTTCTCTCCAACTTTGAGGCTTCGCATGCCCCTACTCCTGTTTTCGCACCCTCCTCATTAGCCCCTTTTTCTTCCTCTTTCCCCACTCTGATATGGGTTAGCAGGATTCAATCCTCCCACCTTTTCTTCGATTCTCTCTGTCTGTTCCACCACTTTGTTTCTTACTCCCACTTCTTCACCTACCTTGCTCTCCCTACCCCTCTCCCCCCCTTCACCCTACCCTTCTCGTTGTTTCTCCACCCCCTCTCCCTCCCCCTGGGGACCTGGACACACCTCCTTTGCCCATCCTGACACCTCCCCCCTCTCCCCTTCTTTCTCCTCCCCTGTTCCAACCTGACCCTTCCCTAGCTCCCTCCTACTCTACCTCTCCCCCTCCTCCCCACCTTTCCTCCCCCTTTGAACCTTTTCCTTCATTTCCCTTTGACCGCTACCCCTCCTTTTCTCCTCTTCCCATTCCTCCGGAGCTGGCCTCAGACTCGCAGGACGACCTTGGCATGCTCGTCTCCCCTCCCTTGGCGAGTGACAATGATGAGGGGGTCAACGGGGATGGGCACGGTCGCGACCTGGATAGAATGAGGGGACTATTTTGCATTATGGGCTTTCAGCATGATGGCCCTGAAGGTCCCACCCACCGGTTCTTCCTCGCAAACGCTCAGAGTCAACAAGAGGTGAACTTTAAAGGAAAAAGGGAGCTCCTTAACCTTTTCTCATCTATATCTTATGGTGGCCCCTCCACTGTAGACTCCCCCATCTCTACCTCCTCTCCCCATTTGAGGCGGTCTGCTAGATTAATCTTTATCTCTTCTCCTCCTCTACCTCCGTGAAGATCCTCACATGTAACATTAGAGGCCTAGGACACCCTTCCAAAAGGGAGGCCGTCAAGGACCTGTCCTTGAAACACCGTCCCATTGTTCTTGCCCTCATTGAAACTAAACTACTCGAGTCTTCTCTCCACCTCATTCGCCAGGTATGGGGTAGGAGGCCTTGCTAGTGGGCCGTCCTACCTATAGTAGGGGCTTCAGGGGGAATCTAGGTGATCTGGGACCCCACAAAACACCTCCCACAATCCTCACATATTGGGGATTTTTCTGTTACTATCCTCCTGTCTTGCATCTCAGATGGCTTAGAATGGAAAATCTCGGCCATTTATGGCCCCTGCGCTTCATCCCTACGGTCTCGCCTCTAGACTGAACTGGACTATGTGGCTTCCCTTTCCTCACCCAGCCTAGTGCTTGGGTGGAGATTTCAATATAACACGTTGGTCTCATGAGAGAAACTCCAGCTCCCACATCTCCCATGGAATGACAGAATTCTGGGACTTCATTTTCAGGAACAATCTCCTAGACATACCTCTTCAAGGAACCGCTTCACCTGGTCCGACCACTCTCTCAAAACTCGACAGGTTCCTTCTAGCCCTGAATTGGGAGGAACGTTTTCCAGGATCCCACGCCATGGCCTTGCCTAAACCCACTTCCAACCATTGCCCCATTCTTCACTGCACCCAAGCCCTGAATAGAGGTCCAAAACCTTTCAGATTTGAACTGGCCCGGTTAGAAGAAAAATCCCTTTCATCATTGATTCCCACCTGGTGGAACTCACTCTCTAGCCAAGTAGAAGGAAGAGCAAGTTTCAAACTCCAATCTAAAATTCAACTCCTTAAAGCTCCCCTTAAAACTTGGAGTTGGTCCATCCCCGGTAACTACACCCAAGTGAAGTCCTCTCTTCTTTTGTCCATCCAAGAACTCGACCGCCTTGAGGAGTCCCGTTCTCTAACAACCTCTGAAGCAAACCTGAGAACCCAAACCAAACTCGATTACTTTTCCAGCCTCAAAAAAGAAGAGCTCTGCTGGTTCCAGAGATCTAGAGTCAATTGGCTCAAAGTAGGGGACCATAATACTCGTT